TTAGGTGGCTTCACCCAAGTGCTTGAGATTTGTCTGTCAGTCAGCTGATCTGACTGACATAGATTCACCTACCCAACAGGTGCCAAATGGGAACTTCTCACGAAATTAACTCATAGGCCCATAATAACCCTAAAGAGACATTATTTGTTTCTAATAAATTAGAATTTTCTATATAAAATATTTTAAAGTCTAATGAGTTTGCTCCGAGTTGCATTGTAACTTCACATAATGAGAACTTGAGCAAAAGTAAATGGAGTCTAATGTTTGACTTGAATTCTACACATTTGAATAAGGGATGCAAACATTCTTATACTATTAGTTCCACAAACATTTGGTGAGCATAGATTCTGTACTTTTCACTCTTATTCTTGAAATTTTTAAAAAATAAACTTTATTTTTAGAACAGTTTTAGATTTATATGCTTTATTTAGATTTCTTTACTTTTGACCTAATTTCCTTTGTGCTCCAGGATCTCATTCAAGATACTATAAGTACTGGTCAGATATTTTGTAGAATGTCCCTTAGTTGGTATTTTTCTGATATGTTTTTCTGACATTAAACTGAGGTTGTAGGTTTTGGGAGGAAGACCACAAAGGAAAAGTGTCATTTTCATCAGACCATATCAGGGTATATACTATCAACATTTTTTTATCACTGTTGATATTGACTATCTGGCTGAGGTAGTATTTGGTTTCTCTACTGTAAAGTTCCTCTTCCTCACTACCCTTTCCATATTGTGCTCTTTGGAAGGAAGTCACCATATACAGATAACTCTCACACTTAAGGAATGAGGAGTTATCTGTATACTTTTTTGTAGGTAGAGTATCTACATAAATTACCTGGAATTCTTATACATGGGAGATTTGTATCCTCCCTCCTCTAATTATTCAATCATTTATTTATGTCTGTATAGAGTCATGGATATTTATTTTATACTTTGGGTAATAATCTAATACTACTTTAATTATTAAAATGTTTCAGCTTTGGTAGTCAGGAACTATTTTAGTTGGCTCTTATATCCTTTTTACACATCCTCATCATTGTATGTGTATTTATTTATTTTTTAATTGTGATTCTTTAATTGTGGCTCTGTGACACTATGCATTTGTCAAAACCCATAGAACTACATGACACACAGAATAAACTTTAATGTATGCCAAAACAAACAAACAAAACAAAAAAACCCCAAACCAAACCACCTGAGGTTGGGGTATCCTAGGATGGAATGCAGAATGTGTCAAAATAATCTAACTGTTTTAAATGTATTACAAATGTATGAAACAACCTTACTAAAGGGGATTTGGGGTGGGACGGGTGGTACAAACCTATTAACTTTGGAAATGAGTGAAGTCTGTAAGAGTAAAGGCAAAAGAAGCTGTACATAAACACTGTCTTCTAGTTGATAAAGTATTTTCTCACAGGGGTACAGTTAACAATTCTGATGCCACTTTACATGTATACTGAAATTAAACAAGTAAATAATTATGGCCAGTAGATGCCAGATTTCTCACTATTGGAGTGGAAGCTTATAGATAAGCAAGAGGAAGAGGCTAGAATGATCCATGTGGTAATAGATTAGAGTTGTAGGTATCAGTATACACTCATGTTTAGCTCATACAGATATATATGGTCGCATATAGAAATATTAATAGATATATGTATATACATAGGTGAGGATATACATATATATTTTCTTGCTCTGTCAGTTGAAAGTGCCTAGAAGCAACAACACCCCAGTAGCATATACAAGATGAACCTGCCCTTTTTAAAAAAAACAGTATTATTCATCATATTTTATGTGCATTTTAGCTTCACAACTATGGAATTAATAGTTTAGAGTTTATGTTAAAATTATTTAAGCTTTTTGCTCATTTCATACCTCATGCATAGATAACTTATTTACATGTGAATGACAATATAACAGTTTGTAGAACATGAAGTTGAACTCTGAATTTTAAAATTGACAAAAATTAAGTCTGTGAATAAGTCTATGGCATGTAAAAGACTTTCTCTGAAGGTTTGGGAAAATATCGGAAAAACTTAAAATTTAATTTTAGATGTCATTCTCTCTAAATCCATGGGTTCTTCTATTATGAGGAATTTCTTTCTCCTTAGGCCATAACAAGATATTTTTCTATGCTTCTACCGTTCCTCTGCCCACACCCAAGTTCATATCCTTCTTCACCTCCAGGACCCCTCACAACCACCATCCCTGCTGCTTCCACAAAATAAATCCAAAATTCCTTATGAATTATTTTTCAGAACAATTTAGCAGAAGAATCCATGGATTTAGAGAGAATGACATCTAAAATTACATTTTAAGTTTTTCTGATACTTTCCCAAACCTTCAGAGAAAGTCTTTTACATGCCATAGACTTATTCATGCTGCTTCCACAAAATAAATAAAAAAATTCCTTAGGAATTATTTTTCAGAGCAACTTAGCAAGTTTGTCCTAATTCAGGTTATGCTCAGAAACCTCAATGTTTAAAACAAAAAGAGATCCACCAAGTTTTTTGTTTGTTTTTTCTTAAGTGGATCATCTAAGTAGAACTTATATCTGGAGCAATATTAAGCACTGGTAGAAGCTTTGATAATATAATTCTTTAAGATGTTGCTTCAATCAGGAAATCTACTATTTTTCCACCCTGAGGTGTTTTGAGTATTTTCTTTTCTTCTTATTTCATGCAGATATATCACAAATCAAGCAATTTTTTCTTGTTGGGCTTCTAGGTTGTATTTATTTATTTTTCCTTAGAGAATAGGATGATGTAAAGGGGCATATCAGAATCTCTGCAGGTCCAGGTATTTATTTTGTTCAAATAAATAAAAGTAATAAAGGTAGATAAGAAATTAAAACATCCTTATTTTTTAAGTAAGATAATATTATAGATGGTGACAACATGAGATTCCTATTTATGACCACAGTGGTCGCACCATGTTCCCGATTCATGTCTATTGTATGTGAATTCAATTCTGTGGGCTCTGTAAAGAACCAAGGGGAAGGAGGGGAGGTAGGGAGAAAGATAATAATTTAAACCTTGGGGTGGCTCCACCCATCATTCCATTCTGTGAGTATAAAGACTACGAGTGAGTGTTATGTGAATAATCTGTTCCCACCACGCGTCTCAGAGTGAGAGCATCTTGGCACGTGGATGAGAACCACGCTTGTAAAGATACTTTTCTCTGTAACATGGCCTGTCAATGAAGGCCAACAATTTCACCTGGCGCCTGACCATGGTAACGATGATTAGCTCCAACAGAAGAACTGCTGTGTTGAACTTGCTGAGATATGACGTGGTGGCTTCCAGGGTCTTTGAGGAAGTCTGCCTATCCTTGTTTTTCACCTAATACCAGAAGTCAAGGCTACATATGGTGAAGCACATATCTAAATTGTTACTGCAATGGCTCAAGTCATCCAGGAAAGGCTTGTCCTGGCCTCAGGGGCCTTGCCTCCTTTTGTCTGGATTTTCTTGTAACTTCCCAGGAATGATGTCTGGCAGTGCTAAAAACTGTGGTCTGTGGTGGCCTAATAATGGAGCAGAGAAGCAAAGTCAATCCTCCTCCTCCTCCTCTTTCTGTGTTAGTCTGATTTTCTTGGAACTTCCTTGAATGTTGCCATGTCTCAGTTTTGAAACTCAAACTATTACTCCTAAGGTCAAGATAAGAATACTTTAGTGTCTATAAAAGAAATATAATGAAAGAGAAGCTTTATTTACATTTAATATTTAAAACTTATTGAAAATCTACTTGTATTAAGTTTTTTACTGTTGTAATCTCACTGATCCTCACAGTAACCCTCTGAAGTACAGACGTGATGATCCCATTTTATATGAGCCAACTAGGCTCAGAAAGTATGAGTAACTTGGTTAGGCATGCTAAGGAGGTAACAGAACCACTGTTTGAGCCCAGATATATCTCCCAAACCTGTGACTTCTCTTTTTAGTTTGTGGCTCCTTAAAAATATGATTAAGACACAGCTGTTGCCCTCAGGGAATTTGGGGGCCCATTGCTGGATAAGAAAACTGTAGAAATACTATAATTCAAGTCAAAATATAAATACTCTTTTGGATAGGTTTACTTTTATCAAGGTTGAAAGGCAGGTTACATGTCTAAATGAGGAGGATCAAGGAAAGTTTCTTTTCTATATAGGTGTTTTAGAAAGCTGAAACTTTAAGGCAGTAGCATCTTCTAGGAATGATTATAACCTCAGAGAGGTTATTTTCTAAGTAAAGGATTTTCTAATTAAAGGAGATACAGTCAGGTGAAGGTATCTCCCATGAAACCATTCATACTCTTACACTGTATGAAATCTGGTGAAAAGGTGGCCCTGGGGGGAGGGGTATTATTGAATTCTGCCAACTGCAATTGCAGTCAGATAGTCCTATTTGTCCATTGAATATGAATGAGATGTAAATAACATCTTGAATTAATTTAAATGCAATTATATTGACAAAATTACAAAAAAAAAAAAAAAGTCCCAATTACTATAGAAAACCAGGAGGATAAATGACCTACATGCAGGAGAAATTCTTTGGTGAGCAAGGAAGTGAGCTGTCCTAAAAATAAAAAGGGCTGTGCAGAAACAGTGTTTTCTGCTTCATGTTATATGTTAACGGTGCATGGCTGGTTGGTAGAGATCATTTCATTGTTTAAAAAAGTATTGATAAGTAGTAAAGCAAATGTGGGCAATGGGAAGTCTCTTGAGATCTGAGGTATGTCAAACATATTGGTTGGTTGTCTCACATGTATTGGTTGGATAGTTCTAGTTTTATTGTCAGAGTAATTTCTATATCAACAATCATTTGATATGTAATTGGTCAACAAGAACTATGCTTTTGGGAAAATTAGATTTAGATGAATCTCTCTGGCATCTTAACTAATAGACATGCTTTTTTCATCTTTTTCTCTCTGTCTACATTGTGCCGAAGTTCGTCTGATCTGTCACTTCTGGTCAAGAGAGAAGCCTGCTCCAGTAACGTGTTGACCTGGGTTTATCTATCTCCTAGTTAAGTAGCTCTAAGGGGCGTGAGGATTGCTTGGGATGGGCTAGGGGTGCTGTTGCTGCTTGTAAGTGCAGGTTCCTGGACCACCTCAGCCTGATTCAACTGGTCTAGGATGAGAACCTCATAATCTGAATTTTAAATAGTCACTGCCCACAGCCCCACCTGCATTCTGATGCCAGCTGAGAAATTCTGCCCCAACTCTGCTGTCTCTGCAGTGTAGCTTCCTGAACACTTTGTCACGTTTCTGACCAAATTAGTGCAACCAGTTAGGGAGCCTTTATAGAGCGTATTATTAATACTTCCATTCTGTTTGTAATTTAATAAAAAACATGTCTCCCTCTTTCCCATAGCACCAGTAAAATATAATAAGCATACCTTTAGTGGAGCAAGGAGCTACAAAACCTGCCCCCACCAATTAAGGATGAGGACTTCAGGATTTATAACCTCCTTAGAAATTTTGCATGTCAAAGGATTCCTTAATGGTAGGAATAGTTGAAGAAAGATAACAGCATCTCCTGATCCAACACTTTTATTTCAGTGTGGTGATTGTCCATACTAGCAGAGATTCCTTTTCTTTGGTCTGCAGACATGGTGGAGGCAGCCAGGGGGCCATGGACATTTGTACACTGTTGGTATCGTTTGGAGCCTCAGAAGAATGGGTTTTCTCTACCCAGAAGTACTGCTCTTCACAAATGTAGATACTGTTGTGATGAATAAAATACTAATATATCTTTAAACACTTTATAAAAATTCTTGTAGCTTTTTTGGTCAAGATATATGGTTTTAATCAGCAGCTATTAATTTTAATCAGCAGATACCATAGTTGTCGTGTAAATACTCTTCATTCACTAGGTGAAGATCATTCACATAGGAGACCAACTATTGTAAATCGTTCATTCATTCAGCAAATGCCTTCAGTGTTCCAGGCACTATTCTGTGCTCTAAAACTGAGACTGAATATAAACACTCTTGCACAAGATTTTATATGTTTTCTTATTAAAGATCCATATGGACTAAAACGCTTACCTGAGTTACTTCTTCATACAAATGTACCCAGCTGATTAAGAAAAATATGTAATTATTCCTCAAATAAAAAGCCACAAAGTAGAACATGTATTCATATTTCTTTTCACTTAGTTGAAATGCTTGCAACTATACTCTAGTTGTATTTTGTTCTAGTCATATGTTTCTATGGCAAGCCATCTGAAAACACAGTAGTGATTTATGTAATTCTGATTTACTTAAATTTGAAATTAGGTGTTCTCTGTCCTTTCTTCTCTTCTGTCTGTGACCCTCATTCAACCCTCCCCAATCAGGCAGGATTAGCTGTCACAGAGCAGGCCACACAGGGTGGTATAATGGTGCCAACACTTAGGGAAATAATTGAAGTAAAGAGATGAATGTTAATTAAGACGCATATTGTCATGTTCCAAATCTGCAGAGTTGAATAGATCCTCATATTATTTCCAATGTTCTTTAGTTTATATGGGCATCAGATGACTGCCAAAACAAAACCCAGTACTTACTATTGTTCCTACTGAAAGAAATGCTTTCAAAGACTCTCCTCTATGGGGTAAACTTTCTACCACCGCAGATCCTGACTGCTGTGCTTGAGCTTATTTGGGGCATGCTATCTGTGGGCCTATAGGAAGCAGAGAAGGGAGTTTGAGCAGTGTCAAGATTTATGGGGAGGCAGTAATGAGCCTCTACTGAATGCTAATTACAGGAGAGTTGTTCAGGGAGACTGCGCAACAACTGTTGGTTTGTGGTAAATTAGTCACTAGCTCTATTGAGATGGACTGAAAGTTTAGATCGGGGCTATAAAGGCACCAAAATCCTGATGATTGACGGCCAAACTTGGTGACAATTTAGGAAAATACCCCAATTGTGCTAAACACAAGTGTTAGGTGACTTTGCATGAATCTAATGAGATGGGTGCAATTCTCTATAAAAGTGAAAGCTTCCAACCACATTGGGATTGAAAAGGACAGTGAGCCTGGATTGGTAAATGAATTATCCGAGCCGTTTTGGCTCTTGGATCCGAAAATCTGCCCAAGCTGCCAGTTGTCTGAAAGAAGAGATTGCTGTGGAAAGAGCCCTATCCTGAGTCTGAGGGCCTTCTTTCGCCTGTGGATGAGGCTTTCTGGCTGTCCACACGCATAAACCTCAACCTTTATCTAAGGCTGCACAGGGCGGCTTTTCTGAGAAAGGATACTCTGGCTCCAGAGCAAAACAAGCGCTCCACTTGGAGGCTTTTCTTGACTGCCAGGCAGCTCCTTTCAGTCCCCCAGTTGCTTTCCTCCTTCATTTCCATTTCCAGTAACACGAAAAGGAGAGTTAATGATTCATTTGCTCCCAGTGCCCTTTCGAATAAAGTGGACTGCGATGTTTCAGCGAGACTCCGGGCTGCCCCCCTCCCTCTTTTACGTCCCCAGTTTGGCTTTAATATTTACAGCCTCCTTGCCGGTCTACATGCCTGAACGCCCGAAGGAAGCAAAACATTTATTGCCTCTCCCTCCCCGGTGTTCGGAGCTGTTTCATCCAGCCTCATTCCTCCTCTTGACATCACACGGGGAGCCTTGCCTCCTGGCTGGGGACGCCCCGGAGTGCTTCCTGAGTCTCTGCTGCTTAGCCGGCTGATTTCCCCAAAACAAAAAGATGGATTCTGACTCTGACTCACCTTTTAACTACTCGTGGCCTTCCTTCCCCAAAATGAAGATTCGGAGAAGGGCATCCAAACAAGGTAGATCGTGGTATCTTTTCTTTCCCCTGGAGCCAAGCCAGATGTTTTTGTATTCTTACCTTGCTTTTCCTCATTTCTTTTCTGCCAGGCTGTTTTCTGATGAAGTTCGTGTTTATACACGTCTTTATAAAACTCTCATTATATAGATACTTTAGCTATAGATTTCGGAGGTAAACCTACTACTCATTCTTCACTTTGAATCTACCTTTGTGTTACTATGTATGTGCGGTGCTCTTTAAAAAAAAGAGAGAGAGAGAAAACGGGGGTTTAGTACAAGGTAAATGTTTTGGGTTCACTTAATCGGAGTTACCTTGGCATTACCTTGACAATAAAGAGTCCTGTTGATTTAAACATGTCCAGTCTTTGTGGGATTTGCAGAGAACTATGCATATGTTTTAAACCAAGTTTCTGCTGCTTTTGTTTTAGTTTTCAAGTGTGTATTAATTTTTAAAAAATAATTTGTATCTAAGAAAATTGCTATTTCTATTTTATACTATTTTATTGATTTATGGATATTATAAAGAAAGGATTTAAAAAAATAATTTCAACACAAAAGCCTGTATATTTTAAGGCAATGCAGTCATATTAATAAAGTTTACTAAAAATAATTATTAAGTATGCAAAAATAATTTACTGCCAAAGGAAGGCGTGCCATTTATCGGTAGCATGCTTAGTAATGGAGTGAGTTTACGTTGCTTATTCCCTCTTACTTGCAACGCACTCTTGTTGTGGTGTGAGTCATGGAAACCAAGGGGCAAGTCGGTGTTGGGGTACAGTGGTGGTGTCCTGAGTACCTGCTGCATTGTCCTTGGCTGAGCTTAGCAGGTGGTAATTGTTGCCTTCTGAGGTTTGAAAAAATAATAAAAGTAGTGAGTAACCCTTTCTATCTCCTGTGCAGAGATTTATGTGGTTATGCTTTTAATGCAGTGAGAAAAAGAACATTTTCATGAGCTTACAACGAGAAAAGGTGTTTGTGAAAGCGAGTTCTCTCAGCAGCATTGTCCTGGGAGCATACCTCTTCTATAGAATGACTTACCTTAGCAGCCTGTGCTTTGCCCAGAGAAGGACGGACTCTAGAAGTTGTCAACATATGTGGCTATTTATGAGGAAGGATCTTCTTCCTTCCTCCTAAATAAAATAGAAGTGTGTATTTGCTTGTTTGCTGTCCAGCTGGGATCAAGGCCAACCCTGGGAATAAGATGAGTTGACCATTTAGGGCTAGTAGAAAGCCTCAGCCTGAACAAATTTCTCACGTTGCTCAGGCCATCCTTCAAATTCCATCACTGGGGACTTTAATAGTTTGTATTTAACATACTATTCTCCTGTTAATTCTGTTTTAAAAATTAACTTCTTTTGTGCTTTAGAAAATTACTCTTTCTATTTTAGTGATCTTGTAGATATTGGAGATTTAAAAAATTTCAACACAAAAGACTGTATCTCTCCGGGAGATATAGTCATGTACTCAGGGGCCATGGAATATGCAACTTACCATTAAATGATTCAGGGGGAGAATACACACATGAGAGAGCACAAGCATGTGCTTGTAAAAGCAAGCTGGTGCACAAATAGAAAGGAGAAGAAAATGTTAACAACATGTAAATAAAGGTATATACTGGTGTTCTTTGTGCTGTTCTTATTCTTTTAGCTTTTCTTTAAGTTTGAAATTATTCCCAAATAGTAAATTAAAAACAAAACTTGTAAATTATTTCTGAGAAGGGTGATACACTAAGTGACTATGACTTTGGAGTGAATAGTATTAGTTCTGGTACATTGAGAGCTTCTTGAGGGCAGGTACCATTCTGTAAGACTACCAAATCTCTGTGCTAATTTTAACCCCCTTAAACTTGGGGAGTAATCTGCTTTATTTTTGTTTTGTCCAACGGACTGCCTGGATGCCTATGTTAGTGTAGTGGCCTGGGCAGCTTAGCAGCCTGTAGAGATGTAGGGATTAATGATTAGGCGGCCAGTGGAGAACCTTGAGAGTCCATTGCAGCTGTAGGGAATGCATTAATCAGCCTCTCGTTTTAAACTTGAAGTTGGAGCACGGCCAGTGTGAGCTACAACAGAAAGTCATAACATAGCTATGTATAAATTAAAGTCGATTCAAGTGAAAGCAGGTACCCAGGATATGAAAATGATTAACTATTTGTGGCTAATAAACAAAAGACAAGTGAAAATAAGGTTGGTAGCAGAGAGTTGGGGATTGTTAGACCGTGTTCCGTGCTTTCTTTCTTTATTAAATGATGGTGGAGTATTTGTGAAGAGCAGGTTTGGTCATGCTGTAATGTAAACTGGACGGAGACTCAGAACCACAGAGCTTTGCAGCCAAAGGGGCCATTGAAATCACCTGGTCCGGTCACCTCATTTTACAGATGAGCACAACAGGACCTAAAGAGGTGATGTGATGGGGCATCATTCACATGTTTAACAGGCCTTTCCAGGGTGCCAGGCACTGTCGCAGAGGGTGGGTGAAGTGCTGACCCTGACGGAAGCTGTCCCTGCTTACCGGGATCTTAGCCTTGGGACTGATCCCCCAGGACCCACCTCCATATAGTGGAAGAAACACCAAGTAACCTGATTTTTCAGCTTGTGGGCTAGTTTGTGAAGAACTATGGTCTCTTGTCTCTTAGAGGATGATATAAGTATTTTAGTCAGTCTTCAAAACTAAGGTGGCTTGAATTTTTTCCACACTCTCTCCTTCCTTCTAATCATCAGCAACATGATTCTCAGATACAGGTTCAAGTCACCTGGGAAATCACGAAGGACATTTTGAGAGCTTAGAATTTCCGGCTTATTGGCAAACCTCTCTTGTATTTGGTGAGAACTATTCTCTTTTATTCTCTCTTACTCTTCCCTTTTTTCTTACCACTCCCCTTGCTAGTATTCTATTTGTTTTAATATCCCCTACTGTGTTGGCTTTCACTGTTCTTTGATAGACACCCAGACACATACATATTACTGGCTTGCTTAGGGAGTGATGTGAAAATTTAGAGGATTTGATAATAAGAGGAAAACAGCATTAGCAGAAAGAAATCTACCAATAACCATATTTCAATTAAAAAGTATATCTAGTACTTTCTTATTCTCATGCCTTCAGAAGGAAGAGAAAAACATGTAACTTAAAGCAGTGACTTTGGAAATGACTAATTTCTAGAGGGGAGAGTGATGAAAGCAGTTAAAATCCAACTGCCCAAAATGTACTCAGTAGTTGGCTTGGTCATTTCCTAGGCAAGGCAGCCCTAGGACAGGCTGTGCTGGGAGCCTAGTGGTTAATGATTGGAGTGGGCCAGAATCCACTTCCGTTCCGCTTCAAGGGCTCCAGGAATGCCTGGATTTTTGTTTTGTTGTTTTCAGTAGGAGCTTCAACTAAGAAATTTAATGTTTATTAATCAAATATTTAAAAATATAGGAACTGGACCTTATCTAAGGTTCTCATAATTATCATTCAGTCTTTAAAATGCACACTTTAATACAAACCAGAACCCAGGAAATGTTGAAATGTTCTTTTCTTTGTGCCTTTATCTACCCATGCAATGTCTCTCATTCTCTCCTATCCCAGCTCATGTCATATGCCTTTCCAGTGACACACAGTGTGAAGAACTACTTCCCCCCCCTTTTTCTTTTTGCTGGTGCAGAACCAGTCTACAGTTGCCAAAGGAGGGGCAATGCATATCAGAAAGCTTGACAACCTTGGAGAGCTTAGCAACAAATTTTTTTGTAGTCGTAGTGAAAATTATGAATATTTATGTGATACTTTATTAACTACTGTTTACTGCTATAGTAAATGCTTTACCTATATGATACCTGATTCTGAAAATAACTCTGTGCTACAGATAGTATCTCTGCTTTATAGGTGAAGAAACTGAGGCTTAGAGAGTATTAAAGATAGTCCCAAGGCCATACCAGGAAATGCAGGGAATGGTGACCTTGGTAGAATAAGGAAGGAGAATGACGTATGAATAAAGTGTTTTTCACATGTGTTGTCCTATAAAGGACCTGTATGTTAGATGTGATTGTCATCTTTATTTATTAGTTTGGGACTTAAGGCTCAGAGGGGAGAAACGAGTTGCCCAGGATCAAAGCCAATAAATGGCAGAGCCAGCCCAAGAACCAGGACACTCGACTTGAGATGTTTTGGTCTTCCCGGTATGTTTTACCATGTCTTAGTAGAGGTAAGGGATGGTGAACTTGAATAGGTAGCTACCTTGGGTTCAAAAGGTGCCATTGTGCCTCACCCTCTTGGCTTCTCCTGCTCTTTCCTGTGTCTCTCCTAGGAAGAGAGATGACAGGGGAGACTCTGGAGGAGCAGGATGGGAGGGCTGGGTTTTTTTTTTTGCCTTGATCCCTTCTCCCTACACACAGATAGAGAACTTGTACACATCACTGGGTTGGGCTTGGGAACAGATGCACAGATGCCTGGAGTGCTGGTTTGTTGGCTTAGGAGAGGAAGCGGCAGGACAAACAGAAAGGATGGGTTTGGGGAGCTTTCAGTGTGTCTTGGAAAGTTCACAGGTTTGTCCAGATAGAGAAAGATAGACTGGGTATTCTGGGAATGAAGATGAGGATCATGAGACCAGTGTTTTGACCTTTTTCATGAGCTCATTTACTGTTTGGAGGGCAGGTTCCTAATCTGAAAAATAATCCTTGACACAGTAAGCATTAAGAGGTATGATGGCATTTCAGAAGTTTTAATGATAATTTTTAAAGGTTAGTTACTTTTATCTCATGGGCTTTCTCATTCTTTTCCTCTTTGCCTTCTTCCCATTCATGAAGTTTCATTGAATATACACATGCACACAGTCTAGAAACTCTCCAAAGAATGCCTTAATATCATAAAAGGAATAAGTCACTACAGAAATCCTTATTAAGGAAGAGAAACATTTTCCTAAAGGTGATATAATCTGCTAAGATGTTTTTGGCTTTCAATGAAGATACGTGTTTAACTTCATACAGAGTGGTTTCAATTCCAGACTCTGCCTAGAGTTTTACCTTTGTCAGCA